TTTTACTCGTCATAAAACGATAAATAGTTTGTCAAATTTTTATTCATAAAAATGCAGTTTCAACTGCTTTTTATTTTATAAAATCCGTCTTCTTGCGCCTCCAGAGGGCCTTTTAAATAATAGATAGTCTGTTAGCGTTGGTCAGTAGTAGTCCAAATGCAATACAAACGTTTGTTTCTTGAAAATTTGATCACGATTTAAATACAGTATTTATTTTTAATGTTACCGATATGTCATCGAAAAGAAAACGTGTTGTATTATCATTAAAAGACAGATTAAAGTATTTGTTTCGATTATCCGGATTTTTCGTTATCCGGACTAACTTCATCCCCAATTAGTCCGGATAATCGAGGTTCTACTGTAGTATGAAGACAGTTAACATTTGCCACAAGTTTTATTTTTCAGCAGATAGTCTACATACATAAAAATATTAATTGGTTCCAAATAGGAAATTTACAGAACTAAAAAAGTTTGTACCATGTAAATTAATACCAAAATATTAACATTACCTCACTTCTCTGTGTTTTTTAATTAATTCAGTAGTTCTGTGAGACCTTGATTCTACTAATTCATGCACTTTTTCTAATGGAATTCTGTCCCATTCTTTTATCAGAAGATTTAAAGATGGTTGATGGTTTTGGCTTATGCTTACTCAATTTTCTCTCTAAATATTGTCAAATCTTCTAGCTAGCTATAATAGCAGAACATGAAGGCAGTGTCTTTGAAACTAAGTCTGTGTTATCTTGATAACATGAGGTTGTTTTATTGGAAAATATAAGGCTTTCTGAGAACAAAACTAACCTAGATGGCTGTAAACAAGTTTTAAGGATGTCAATGTAGTTTTCAGCTGTGATGGTGCTATTATTAAAAAGGGTTTTCTGAGGCTACTCACTGACATGCACCCACAGATTCCAATGGAAATGGTCCTTTGCACCATTTGTGCAAAACAATATGGATGGCTCATTTTACTTTCAGATAATCTTATGCATTATTTTCATACACAATCTGGAAACAACATTCCTTTGACCTTAAATCACTTTTTACACATTTTCTCCCAATTCTTCACAGATCTACATCTTTTGCCCAAGCAAAGTGACAATGTTAGTTCATCACAGTAAGAAATGGTTTTTTTCTAGCACAACAGAAACTATAGTTTATTTTCTTTATTCATCTCTGTATTGTCAATACATGTACTGTACTGTTGTAGCCAAATTTACTAAATCTGACAGTTATATATTTTTTTATACATGTACCAATATAATCTTATATAATCTGTAGGATTTAAAATCCATCTCCAATTTCTGCATAGATTTCCAGTACTTTTAGCATGTACAATTGGCATGCATGCATGCACAAACAGAACTGTAGAACATCAAATGTTTCAAATTTTTGCTATTTGGTGTAACTTTTGCCTTCTTCCTATTTCAATAAGATTTATCTTTTTAGATCTTCAAAAAGTAGTCTTCCTTAGGCATTGTATCAAGTTTGAAACATTTATGTTACATTTATCAACTTGCAAACAACTTTGCTACAGATTCTCTGCAACCTTCCTTTAATACATGCTGGTGGTTTAGTGTGGTCCTGCAAGTTTGCAAGCAGGTATGAATTATTATGCTTGCTGTATACTACATCATCTCAAATTATTTGAATTTTCTTAACAATTTCTTTCCATTTTTTTCAAAGTTAGGTGCATTATACTTTCAAAGCCTTAGAAATTTTAACCATACACTCCTAGTAAATCTTACCTTACATGACGAGAGCCTACAGTGATTTAGGATCAGGGTACAAACTCTTTTGTATTTGACTTTGTAATTTTATTCTGTTAAACAATCAATTTCAAAGATAAAATAATAAAATTTCTATAATTTAGTGTGATGAGAAAGAATGTTAAAACGCTTTTTATAGTAATTTATAAAATTTCTAAATTTGTAACATTGAAAGTAAAAGAAAATTAAAAACATGCATTGCTTTCTTAGGGCCCATAAGGTAGAAAAGATGGAGAAAAAATTATATATAAGTTAGATTATAAAATCAAAGAAATTAATTGTTAAGAATATAAAAGTGACAATTTAATATAAAGACACCTGAAGGCAAGAACAATACACAGTGAATCCAATTCCATTTTGATGATGTAAGGAGATTATATGTAAATTTATAAATTCCTTTTTTTTTATGGTTAATTTTACCATTTAATGCAGTGTTTCTCAACCTCTAATGAATCGTTGCCCCCCTTTAATATAGTATCGCCCCCTTCAATAAAACCGTTATGTAGTATCACCCCCTTCAATAAAACCGTTATGTAGTATCACCCCCTTCACTACAAAATTCCGATGTCAAGGGACAAGGCTAACACCAAATTCGTACTGCATTGAATAGACTAGTGACTAGTATAATGTTATTTGTTTAATTATTGTACGATATAACAAATAAAATATCTAATTATTCTTAATATAATGTTTTACTATATCGCCCAGAAAATTGTTTTTCGCCC